ATTGACGCGAGCATAGTCCTTATCCCCCTCTTTTGGGTAGACGTCCCAGCGTCTAGTGAGGGAGTCAGGCTTAGCTCCTAAGCATCCGGGGGGAAGTGGATGATGAGATTGAACTGGGATAGGAATTCCAACCGGCAGGTCAGAACTTTGGAGGTGGAGAAGTATTCCAGATTTTTGTGGTTGGTAACAATGTCGATAGGGGTGCCAGAACCTTCAAGATAATGACGCCAATGCTGGAAAGCTTCATGGATAGCAAGGAGCTCCTTATCATGAGTGTCGTAGTTGAGTTCCGGGGCTGTCAGGGTGCGGGAGTAGAATGCGACAGGGCAGAATTCCTCGTCCAGGTACTGGATCGAGAGGATTCCCATGATAGTGTAGTCTGAAGTGTCGGTTTCAACCGTGATAGGACAGTCCGGAATCCAGTGAGTAAGGATAGGGGCTCAGGTGAAGGCGGAGTGGCAGGAATCATCAAAGTTCCATGGGGCATTTTTCCAAGTGAGTCGGGTGAGCAGGACAACGATATCGGAGTAGTTGATGATGAAACAACGATAGAAGTTGGCAAACCCGAGGAAGGACTGAATGTCCTTGACTTTCCGGGGTTCAGGTCAATCTCGGACTGCCTGGACTTTTTCCCGGGACATAGTCAATCCCTGGGGGGAGAGACGGTAGCCTAGGTATTCAATGGAGTCCAAGTGCCACTCACATTTCTCTGGTTTGGCATAAAGTCTGTGTTTCCGGAGATGCCGGAGGACTTCCTGGACATGTTCTTTGTGAGAAGCCATGTCATTGGAGTAAATGAGGATGTCATCAAGGTAGACCACGACGCAGACGTCTAGGAGGTCCGCAAAGATGCTATTGATGAAGCAATGAAAGGCCGCAGGGGCATTGGTGAGCCCAAAGGGCATCACCAGCCACTCGTACGAGCCATAGCGAGTCCAGAAGGCGGTTTTCCATTCATCCTTGGGAGCAATGCAGACAAGGCGGTATGCATGGCAGAGGTCAATTTTTGTGTATACCTTGGCGCAGCTAGGGGAATCAAGGAGGTCGGAGATTAGGGGTAAGGGATAGCAGTTTTTTCGTGATTTTGTTGAGTCCTCTGAAATCGACAGAGACGTAGGGATCCATCCTTCTTGCAGACAAAGAGGACAGGAGCACTGTGGGCGGATTTGGACTGGCAGATGAAGCTGTAGTTGAGGTGTTTGTCTATGAATTCCCAGAGGGACTCGAGTTCTGTAGCGGAAACCGGGTAAACAGTCCCAAGAGGAGGGGAAGCACCTTTCTCTAAGTCAATCTTGAGATCGAATTCCCTGTGGGGCGTGAGGGTGTCAGCCTTGCACTCACTGAAGACCTTAGGGAAATCATGATAGTCTGGAGGGATGGAGGACAGATTGACTTCTTTGGCAGTTTTGGAATTCCCAGAGTCTTGGGATATGGAACGAAGTTTGGAGTCCTGGGGACGGAGGTGAATGCTGAACTGCTCAGAGCCATCGAGTTTGCACACGCACACAAAGGCAGCAGCATTGACAAATGAGATGCGAGGAGCTTTGCAAGGCAGCTTGTCGGGAGTGTCGGAGTGAGATAGGGGACTGGGGTCTGGAATCTCCGGAGGTGACGTTGGGGGTGTTTGATTTTTCCTTTGGTACCTGTTGACCCTTTCTTTGACACTTACTATTCCTTTCCATATGGCCCTCCTTCTGCTTTGCAATGATTGCACTATTGCTATTAGTGATCCTTTCATCATTCTGACACCATTTCAATATATCCCTTACTATACTCTGGAAAACCTGAAATCCCTGCTTTGCCTGACAACACTTTAACAGTTTTATATCTTCTGAACTCCTTAGTTTGGATATCAACAAAATCTTGTTCTATCCTTGAAAATCAAGGGACAGAACTCAAACAGGTGCATAGCACATAGGCTGAAGCCAAAGTCCTTTGCCCCTCTGACCCCTTTCACAGACTCCCGACCTCTGGGGCACCCGGGAATCCTGGGATCAACCTGGGATCTGGCAGTATATTTGAACTCGAACCTCTACAGGTTTACTGACGTCACTCTTATTGATGTCTGGAATTGTTCGGGCTTGTGCTCGAGCACACACTGTGCAGGGCATTGATGCCTCTTAGTTGGAGTCAGCCCAAGAAGATGTGCTGCACTCCCTGATGACCTTGTGTCAGAGTCCCCACCTTGCCCAGAAATTCCAAAGCTCCTCCACTTATTGTTTGTCCATATTAGCATCTCAAACAGGAGTCCTGCCTCAGGACCCCTACTCCTGCAGGTCACTGCCTTCATGGGGACACCCTAGACCCCTCTGATGATGGCCTATGCAGAGGCCTCTAATGTCAGGGTCCTGTGACATCCAGTGACATGTTGACTTAGCATTGGTGCACCAGCATAACAATCCAAATCAGGAAGGCAAATTCAGCCTTCCTAAAAAAGAAAATGGCAGTGAGATCCCTCACAGCAGTATTACAATGCACTAGTATTAGCTTTATCCATGTCCTCTGTCAAGTCCGGGTTCCATCCCGGAATTCCTGGATAAGTCCAGAGCACGCAGAACGGCAGAGTCGGTCAGGAGAAATGTGACAGAAAGTCTGGTTCTCAGACCAAAAAAAACCAAGGACTGAACCAGACCAGGACTAAATATGACCATATGGTGGCTATTTCTGTAACTGGTCCTACTTGGTCTTGGTTTTGGTTGCAACTGTGTCAAGTGCAGATTTAATCTCAGAATTCCCGAAGGTCCTAAGGGCAGAGAAGGGTGTAGAAGGGTAAGAAATCCACAAAGGGGATCAGAGGGGTAAGGGAATTTGACTTCAGTGTATGTGCTGTGCCCCTATATGAGTCCTGTCCCTTGATTCCAAGAAAGAGGTTCAGAAGCCAATCCTAAGTTCAACTTAAGGACTGAAGAGGGGTTTCAGAGTAAAGTCAGGACTTTGAGGATAGAACAGGATTTAGTTGATATTTGAACTAAGGAAATATTGCAAAGTACAAATGGGTTCTTATACTAAAGAGTCTGGAGGATATAAAACTGTTCAAGTATCAGGTAGATATTGTCTCCTCCAGGCTGTCTGGAGTTGTTGGGGGAGTGAAGTGGACTTTGACTTCAACTTGTGTGTTGCACCCTTGCCTAAGTTCAGTCTGGTATTTAGCAAAGTAGTGGTGGAGTGGAGTAGCAGTGGAGCAGAGTAGTGACAAAGGAGGAATAGAGTAACAGGGGTTAGATGTCTGAGGGTCAGAGTGATAACAAGAAGACTGGCTTCAAGTTGTCGAAGGGAGGACTTAGTTGGACAGAGTAGAAGAGTAATCAAAGCCAGTATTTGACCTGCAGAATGCAGAATACAAGAGTTGTTTATATAATATGGGGACAAGTCAACATAGGTGACACCAGAGTACCAGAGTCATGTGGAATGTGAGTAAGAAATGTCAGGAAGTGTTAGGAAGTGTCAAGGGAAGTCAGAATGAGTCAAGGGGAGTCAGAACAGGAGGTATCAGAAGGTGGAGATATTATACACATCAAACATCTGTTAAAAGTATGAAGCATGAGGAACAAGGCACAGGGGCAAAAGTGTTAAAGATAAGTGAAGAAGTGGAAATGGAGAAGTGGACTTGTGAAAAGGCAGACTGTCAAGTCCGGGTTCAATCCTGGAATTCCTGAAAAGTCCTAAGGCAGGGAAAGGCATAAGGGGTTGGGAATCCATGAGGGGGGTCAGAGGGGTAAGGGACTTTGGCTTCAGCTTATGTGCTGTGCTCCTGTACAAGTCCTGTCTCTTAATTTCGAGACAGAGGTTCAGAAGACAATCGTAAGTTCAACTTAAGGACTGAGAGGGGTTTCAGAGTGAAGCAAAGACTTCAGAGGATAGAACAGAATTTAGTCAATATTTGAACTGAGGAAATATCACAGAGTACAGGTGGGTTTATATACTGAAGAGTCCGGAAGATATAAAACTGTTAAAGTATATTGAACAAGTCAGGACTTTGGGTTTCAGAGTAGTAAGGGGGTGAATCAGAATGATGGAATGATAACTAAGGATGATGGCACAATAATTGTGAAGCAGGGGGAAGGGAATTATTGATAGGAACTATAAGTGTCAAGGAATGTCAAAGGAAAGGAACATATGTCAAGAGATAGCCGAGATAGGAGTATGAAAGTCTAGGACAGGAATATGAAAGTCCAGAATGGGAATGATGGGATTTGGGATATTGGGATATGAGGTTGAGGTGAAAACCTTCTAAGGTAAAGTCCGGGGTTTGGGATTTGATCATAAGGGGTCGGAAGTGTGTCATATGGGTAGGGAAAGTTTCAGGATGTGATACAGACTTGGTCCGGAGTTGGGCTCTGAAGAAGCAGAGTTGACTTGCATGGCACAGGATATGACAGGATCATGGTTTTGGGTTTCTGGAGTATAGTAAGGGAGAAATCAGAATGACATCAGAATGATGAAAGGATAAGTGACAACAATGGTGCAATGATTACAAAGAGGAATGAGGACCATATGGAAAGGAACAGTAAGTGTCAAAAGAAAGAAACAAGATAAAACAGACATAAGCAAGATAGGTCCATGAAAAGTCCAAGGCAGGAATACAGGATATCAGGATACAAAGTTGAGGTGAACATCTTCCAAGGTAAAGTCCAAGGTTTGGGATTTGGGATTTGGTCACAACTGGTTGGGAATGGATAGGAAAGGATAGGGAAAGTCATGGGATGTAACACAAATTTATGAAAGAGTTTGGTGATGGTTTTGCAAGTTCTAATTGTTGGAGAATAGATATCTGTTGCCCAAAGTGGCAGTTTCCCTGAGTTATTACAAAATGATCTGGTCATTGAACACTCACCAAGCACTTAAGTTAGTAGATGCTCACACTACTCAGGTCCGGTTTCAGCAGCATGCATTAATGGCCGAGGTGTCAACATCAATGACAATTCCTAAAGAAACATGACTTTTGCTAGGTTAAGCATGGTATAGTTTACCTAGGTAGAAAAAGTTCCAGCCAAAAAAGCTGGCCAACGTGGGGATCGAACCCAAGACCTTCGCGTAACATGACCCGTCAGCCATCCCATGTTGCCAAGAAACAGCCGTCAAATCAGATATTAGCACGACGCTCTAACCAACTGAGCTAGTCGGCCATTGGACAGAGTGATGCGGCCGTAATGTGTAACATATCTACCTGCAACGGTGTATCATGCGTTATCAGGGCTTTTGACGAATGTACTCTTCCGAGCCTCCTCTCGTCGTAACGACTGATAGGATTGATAAGTGCTACTTATTAGATCGAGTGTGGTAAGGAATAATGTATAAACGTGAGTCCTGTCCAACTCCAACTTCAAAGCAATGCAACACATGTGAAACCCATAGCATCACTTAGGCAAGGGTAGCAAATCCAACGCGCATGTTACCAACATCAAAAGCAGTGTAAACGTTAGCGAGGAAAACGTCGCCGATAATCCAAAAGGCTAGAAAATCATTGTCTTTAGCACACAAGTCTTCTTGGCATGAGAACAACTCAAAGACTCACTTGAACCAGTATCCTGTCCGACGATACCGCCAACGCAATCAGATGAACCAGAGGAAGCTTGTCCGAGGTTAAAGGTCTCAGGAGAGATGGGGAAGGACGCGCCTCCGAAGGTGAGGCTGACGCTAGGGACTGAATCACAAGGGACTACATGGTTGTTAATAAAGCGACGGAGACCAAGTAGGCCGAGAACATACAGGTGTAGTAGCCTTCACCGACAGTGTTAGATGCATCGGTACCGCCAATGGCTTGGTAAAAAGTCGCCACGTCCGAAGGCGTACCAACGATGAGGGAGGTGCCAGTGTCAATGATGGAGTCAATATTGCTCAATACGGTCTGTCCGTTGCCATCGACACTGTCCATGTTAACTTCCCAGTAACCCTAGTACGTTATGTCAATTACTGTTAGGGTACACCTTGGACTCGATGACTTACTTCTTGGGTGACAGGAATGTAGCGAAAGTCGCCAGTGTACAAGGCAGAATTGGTACCACCGATGTACAGCTCGGACCCAGAGGTTGCGAGCTTGAATGCAAACACGGGCTCGTCTGTCTGACCCTGAGAGACCAGAGTCTGGAAGACAGGGCTCGCATCGTAATTAGAGATAGACTGGAAAGCCATTCCCATCAAACCATCCGCGGGGAACTGCGAGCTTTCGAGGCCTGAAGAATACTCCTCTGCCGCACCGAGAGTTTGACTAGTAGCCTGCTCAGATATCAGAATCGATGAAGTTGGAAGGGCACTTCGGGCGTACCGTGAGTCCGACAATCGAGACAGTGTCGCTGTACTGTTCTCCGGAAACATTGGATCCATCTCCGTATGTATGGTTGAAGGTCGTGCCTAGGTTCATGGAAGTCGAAGATGACGAGGGATCATAGACTGTATGGCCACTGCAGCTCGACCCACAGTTGGGACCTGGCAAGAAAAGGTCGCTGTAATCAAATTCAGTGAGAGGTTAAATGCACCAGAGGACAGATACGTGCCTCGAGCCAGTATCGAAGTCAACTGTTAGAGGGTGAGCTGCACACCCAATGTAAGACCACTGCAAACCTACCGGTAAAGGTGTTGGGAGGTGTGCCAACAGAAATAGTGCCATACCAAAGCGTGTTGTTGTTGTTAGTCAAGGCGTCTCCACCCGATCCGCGCTTGCGGGCGCCTTTCACACTAGATGGATGCGAGGCACCGGTATTTTTCTCAAAGTTAACAAGACCACCACGAATCTTCCTGCATATTCATATTCGGGTCAATGCAAGCGAAATTAGAGGCCAAGCAGAAAGGTACGCACGCCTGAGTTGATGCAACATGGGACTTGAGTGCGTCAATGTTGACGCTCTTGTCGGCGTTGACCAGCCCCGAGCGCTTGGAGACGGGAATCGCTGTGCCAATCCTCTGTTTGGCGGGCTGAGGAGCCGCAGCAACGAGGAAAGGCAGCGCAGTAATGACCGTTGCGAGAGTGAGACGCATACTAACTAGATTTTTCTACAAAGAAGGGGTAAGGATGGCAAAAACTGATGATAAGTTGTGCTAGTCTGCCTACCTTTATATAATTACCACCAAGGTAAACCTAGGGCTTTGTTGTTCTTGTTCGGAACCATGAAGCAGGGGAGCCGCAGCCGAGACAAGCCAAGCTTTGTCGGAGCTTCTTCAAGTTGTTGAGATTTCTGTCGAAGCAGCATCTACTAACTTATGCGCTCAGCGAGTGCTCCATGAGCAGATCGTTTTGGAATAGCTCAGGGAGACTGCCACTTTGAGCAACGGATACCTATTCTCCACCAATCAGAACTCGCAAAACCGTCACCGAACTCTTTCGTAAATAATTTGAGTGGTTCGATGCTAGTAGTCTGATGGGCGTAGTCAACGTAAAGACTCGTCTTATTTAGACTAAGTACAAACCAAGCGCTCGACAGGCCGTCGAGCGGAAATTAGCCAAGTAACAGACACTGATTGTCCGCCAATGAGCGCTGATCAGAAAACCGTCACCAACCCTTTCGTAATTATTGCGTTTTGCGGTGGCAATCAGTCTCTGATGAGCCTGGCTCGGAGGCATCTACTACTTATCGAAGAACGGGACTGCAGAGCATAATAGATCCGGGGTGTGAGGAAGCCTAACCTCCGGGGAAAAATCTTGGGCAGTATGGACTCACCAGCGTACCAACTTACGATTAGCATATCAGTAGCATCAGATGTGACTGTTTCGAGAGCCGCACGTCATATTCGACTTCGATCGCTTACAACATTACGCACGAAGCCCTGGATCTGGTGAACAACCACAAGATAAAGTATGTCAAGTATGATACAACAGAAAAAGCACTCAGTCCCACTTCGCCGGCAGTAAAACATCATGCGTACTAGATTTAAAGGAGGTTAGCCAAGCTCTTGGAGCAGTAGAATTGATGAGACTTACTCTGGTAAACGTTCCCATCGTCATGAACGTCTCTTTCCTGGGAGGATCATTCTTTCCGCGGTATAGCGATTTCACTGCATCACTCATGTTAGCCTTGCGCTTGGCTGCCTCGACTGCGAGAGTATTCGAAAAAGCTCGTGATGCAGTTGATGCAGTAGGATTCAAGGGAGGTGTAGGCGAAGGCAAAGGTTCTACTGGTGACCCTTTCTTCTTCTTGGAGGCTGCGGGAGCCTCTTCAACAATTGCTTCAACACCTGCTTTCCGCTTCTTCGTTTTCGACTTTGTGGGCTCGCGTGAACGACGAAGTTCTATGGCCACACGCATGCGCTCTCCCTCCCCTTCAAATGGATTGATAGTCAAGATGTCGGAGGATCGAGAGAATTTGGTGGCACACTGAGGACAAACGTCAAGCTCCTCTTTAGCAGCACAATTGCCGCTGCTCTCCTCGCTGCCAGATGTCTCCCTGATGGGTGGAGGTGTTCCAAGAACTGTGCGGAGACCCGACTGTGAGAAGACACAGCCACAGGAGTGGATATAAACGAAGGGCTGTGCTCCATTCATCTCCTTGAGGTTGAGAGGGCAGACAAACTGGGAGATTTCACTGGGCGATGCGTCGGAAGGTGGCGCAGGAGTCGATCGTGTTGTAAATTTCAAGGTTTTGACATCCTGCATAAAAGCTTAGCTTGCGGTATATTAATAAGCTGCAAGTGAGACATACCTTTAGTGAGCGGATGTGTCCACATATCTCGTCTCCGTCCCCATAAGCTGACTTGTCCAAGAGATATTCTATTATCGCATCCTTGTTATAAAGTTTGCCCAGCCCACAGGAGACAACTGGTTCCTGGAGCAAGCGCTGGAAGATATATATTCAGTCATCACAATATGATTTCTGACTGAAGCGAAACGTACCTTTGAAAGTGCACAGAAAAACCACCTGGCCCGTACTTGATTGGCCTTGTCAGCTTGCTCAGCCTTGGGCTTAGTCCGCACAAGATCTCGTCTATCTGGGATGCTGCCTCCGTCATTTCCCATGGTGACGACTAAGAGCGCGGATGATGGTTTCAAGACAAAGGCGGACGGATATCTTCTGTTGATGAATAAGATCCCTGAAATGGAATTATATTCAAGCTCCGACAATTTGGAGGCTGGTGCTATTTGTACTTGTTAAATTCTAAAGCTCTTGCCTATTATGGAGTCCTCTTAATATGTGGTAAGGAAAGCAGCCGTGTCGGTTTTGTTGTCTGAACTGTAACCAGCGTGGAAGCACCAGCTGTACAGTTCCATCGCCACCATTTTTCATGCAAAGACCATTCTAAATGCTCTATAAAGCTATAGTAAAGGGGAAAAGGCCCTTGCAGGCCGCCTCTCATGCAATTTCATCCACTACCACTGCTGCTGCCAATACCTCTTCTGCTATTTTTTCTAGAGTATTTGTAAAACGAAGAATCAGCTTATCCGGCACAGTACGCTCTCTTAACAGGAGCGCTTTCAAGAGGACTTTCTCTACGAGAAATGTCATTCCACCTGAATCCCCCCAGGAATTACCTGGTGCCTCGTCCACCGTCCCAATCTACAGTACGCTTCATCTAATAGGCGCCCGCTCGCAACGGATCTAACTGCTATATATCATAGGGAAATTAGTATCAGCATGGACTCAAACTCCTACGAAATGGTATCCGCTTCCTCTGGCCGTTGGTGCACTCCTCCTTGTGATGATCCAGTACCACAAAAAGATGGCACGTGCCGAGAAGGAAGTTCACGTCGACGAGGAAGGTCATGAAGTTATCAAGCTCAAAGGTCCTTGGCAGGCAAGTGCATATGTTCGCTAAATGTACCTCTTCTTAACTCTTGGCAGGTTCACGTAATTGGTGCATTACCGCTTCGCAACATGTCTCGAGTCTGGGGTTATATGAATTCTTTCGAGCTACCCATCTGGATTCGTCCCTACGGTTTTAGGTTCTATGCTTATGTGTTTGGATGCAACTTGGAAGAGATTGAGCCGAGTGACTTGACGCAGTATGCCAGTCTAGGACAATTCTTTTATCGAAAGCTCAGACCAGGCGCACGACCAGTTGATAACGCTGTCCTAGTGAGTTCTCCTCTCCATGTCCTACGAAAAACCCTCTTAAGTGTACCCCTCAGGTCAGTCCCGCTGACGGTACTGTGCTTCACTTCGGTACTATCGATAATCTGCGCGTGGAACAAGTCAAA